GGCACACCCACAAGAGAAATACTACCTTTCTGGATGCAAAGAGGGGTCCTTCTCTCAACTGAATTCTTTTTTTGGGGAGGGAGCATTGGTTGTGGGGCTTGAATTCTGGGCATGGCCCCTGTCCCTGGGCTCTTTAGCTCAAGGCTAGCACTCTACCACTTGAGCCACAGCACCACTTCTGGGCTTCTTTTGTGGTACTGAGAAATCAAACTCAGGGCTTCATGCACGCAAGGTAAGCACTCTACCACTCAGCCACATTCCCAGCCCCAGGTTCTATTTTGAACACAACAGTACTCTTACAGGTCTACCAAAGGATTATATCTTCAAATTCTAGCACTATACTATGATTTCCTCCACCAAAAAAAGTGAAATTGGAGAGAAAGAGTATTCTCTGATAACATATGTTTACAAGGTATCACTAAAGCCACATTCTGTCAGGACTATTAATCAGCAAACATTTTATACTTCATTCCCAATTAACAAATACATACAACTGATGATAGGAGGATTGTGGCTTGATACCAGTCCAAGAAGAAAAATGTTCATGAGAATCTTCCACCAAAGACCAAGCTGGGCACGATGGCACACACTTCTTAGAGGTGACATGGGAAGGGTAGCTGGGATCATGGACCGAAGCCAGCTCAGGCAAAAAGCACAATGTCATAGCTGACAAAGATATGTGAACAGAGAAAGGAAACAGAATAGGAGGAAAGGAAAAAGGGCTGGATACATTGGTGAAGTGGTAGTGCCCTTGCCTAGCAAGCAAAGGGCACTTGTCTATCAAGCATGAAGCCCCGAGTTCAAACACTACTATCATCAAAGAGCAAAATAACTGAAAAACAAAAAATCCAGCTGGGCACCAATGGCTCATACCCATCATCTTAGCTACTCAGGAGGCTGAGATCTAAGGATTTCAATTCAAAGCCAGCCTAGGAAAAAAAACTCTGTAAGTCTCTTATTTCCAATAAAATACTCAAAAAAGCTGGAAGTGGCATTATGGCTCAAGTAGTAGTAGAGTGCTCACCTTGAGCAAAAGTAGCTGAGGGAAGTGCCTAGGCCCCGAGTTCAAGCCCCAGGACTGGCAAAAATAAATAAATAAAATCGGTTTCAGAACACAAGGAAGTTTTTATCCAAGATGTCTTGGTCATTATGTTGCTGATATAGATCTATACGTTTCAAAATAGTATTAAATGAGAAGAAGGGCCCTGCGTCTGTGTCAACTCTCTGGTAAAGGGACCAAACTCCAATTAAATACCAACTTGACAAGAATACACCCAAGTTCAAACAAGGAGATGAGATATTGACTCAAATTTCTAGTTGTTGTGGATATATATATATATGTATGTATATATATAATATGTTATGTATTATATATTATGAAAGTATACCAGAGAAAATTAATAAATAACTTCTTCCTATATTAGTTTGTTTTGTTTTGTTTTATCATTTGTGGGCCTTCAACTCAAGGCCTTGGTGCCATCCTGAGCTCTTTTGCTCAAGGGTAGAGCTCCACCACTTAAGCCACAACATGGCTTCCAATTTTGAGTGGTTCATTGAAGGTAAGTGTCTTAAGGGGACTTTTCTGCTTGGGCTGGCTTCAAACATTGATTCTCAAGTCTCAGCCTCCTGAATACTAGGATTATAGGTGTGAGCCATAGGCACATGGATGCTTGATGGCTTTACTAAAATGTGGGATTCAAAAAAAGAAATCACAGGATTTCTTTCACACACATCCTAGCTATTCAGGAAGATGAGATCCAGAGGATTGTGGTTCAAAGCCAAATCATGTAGAAAAGCCCACAAGATTCCATCTCCAAAATAAGCAACAAAAATGCCAACTGGAGACCCAGCTCAAGGGATAGAGTCCCAGCCAAGCAATTAAGCTGAGCAAATACAAGGTTGAGTGCAAACCCTTACACTATTCTTTAAAACAAGCAAACAAGCATATGAAAAAAAACAGGCCATTACAGCCAAGTGGCTCAAGCCTGTAATCCTAGCTCCTCAGGAAGCTGACATGTAGAGAAACCCAGTTTGAATTCAGTTGCAGTAGGATTTTTATTTCTAATGGAACAAAGAGAAAGCCAGAAGTGGGGCTGTGGCTCAAAGGTAGAACAAAAGGAGGTCAAGGACAGTGCCTCAGCCTAGAGTTCAAACCCCAGAATCTGCCAAATAAAAAGGAAAAAAAACAAAACAGTAACTCCATGTCTTTGTTTATCTATGGATGTATTACTATTGATGAAGCTCCAGAATAGGTATGATAAAAGGCACCTAGCTAGGAAATTTACTTTCAATATAATGATTTTAAATCCCACCACTGCCAAATATATATAAGTGGAGGAAGTAGTCAATTTTTACCTGATTTGTTTTTTGTGTGTGAAAGTCTGGGGTCTTAGGTATAATGTATACATATATACATATACATATGTTCATATGTATATACATATAGGCATATATAGGTATATTATATATAGGTATATATTATAAATATATAAATATTATTTTTGCCAGTACTGGGGCTTGAATTCAGGCTCTGGGAACTGGGCTTGAATTTTTGTTCAAGGACAGTGAGCTCCCACTTCACCTACAATGCAACCAAGTTACCCAGCTGCTGAGTTCAAATCCCAGGGATGGCAGAATAATGGCAGGAGTTCCAAGCCAGGGCTTTAATTAATTGATTAGCCAAGCACAGGGCTTGAACTCAGGTTGTGGCAATTCTGCCTCAGCTTGGATTACCCTAGGTTGGGGTACAACCTAGACCCTCAGCCAATCCTGGTATCCTAGGACCCAAGTTCAACTCCCAGCCCGGCCAAAACAAAACAAAACAGGGAATTACAAAAGCAGAAAGTTCCAGGCAGATTTTACTTTTTTTTTTCTTTGCATTGTGACCGGGCCTGAATGATACAGCCAGGAAGGTGTACATGACCTTTCACTGCTGAAGGCTGGTCACCTATTAGTGAAGCCATAGCTGAACCCAGCATTTGAGTCCCTCAGTTCGAATGCCAGGACTGGCACAAACAAATGGTGGGAGATCCTAAAAACTCATTGCTATATCTATAAAGGCTAATTGAAAGTTACAAAGTAATAATTAAATTAGTAGTTAATGATTCTATTATAAAATTACACAATTATACACAATAATTATAGAACGTTGACTGATTTTCAATCAGTACTTTAAGTATTAAACCATGATACTTATCTAAATGGAGGAATAATTTATTAGTTAATAATTGGTAGTAATATATAATTTACTAGTATATAGATATCTCTCATTCTCTCTCTATATATATATACTGCAATCTACATATAGATATCTCTACCTATATATTATATATATACATATGTATTTATGGCAATGTACATATTTATCTATTTATACATTGGCCACTCCTAGGGCTTGATCTCAAGTCCTTGGAACTACCCAACAGCTTAATTTGCTGGAGGCTAGTGAACTACCACTGACCCATTAATGAACTGGTGGTTCTAGGCACTGAGTTAAAATCCCAACACTGCCAAAAATTTACAGGTGGAGTAAGAAGCCAATTTTTACGTTTTTTTATAACTGTCTTGGATCTTACGTATAATATATAATATATATGCATATATGTAAATGTATATTATATATTATAAATGTATACAAACATTATTTTTGCCAGTCCTGGGGCTTGAATTCAGGCCCTGGAAATTGGGCCTGAATTTCTTTTGTTCAAGGACAGTGAGCTCACATTTCCCCCACAGTGCAAATGAGTTATGCAGCCCTGAGTTCAAATGGCAGAATAAAATGGCACGAGTTCCAAGCAAGGGCCTCAGTTTTTTGTTTTTTTTTTTCCGCTTGAACTCAGGTCGTGGCAACTCTGCCTCAGCTTCCATGACACAAGCCTGGGGCTCAGCCTCTTGACCCACAACAGAATATGGTATGCTAGGACCGAAGCCAGGCTCAGATACTCCTTTAATAAATTACCTTGGCATGTCACAGCACTACACATTCCTACCTACTGTTCTTGCTCTCCTCTGAGTCTTCTTCATACATGATTCTCCATCTTTTCAGTAACTCAATGGTGTCAAACACCATTTCCTTTCCTCCTAGGTATATTAATAATAAATAGGTTTAAAGGCTTGAGTACAGTGCTTTTACTTTATTGGTCTTTTTACTCAGAGCTATACACTGTTTGTTATACTTGCTTGGCTGGTGCTTTACTAATTGGACCAGTCTGGCTCTGAACTGGGATCCTCAATATGCCAGCCTCCTGAATAGCTGTGATTAGAGGAACAATCTCCAATTTGAGTTAGGTTAAGCCTCATAGCAAGATCTAGTCTCTACAAACAAGCAAATGAAGAAGAAAGGATGAAGAGTAGGTGTAGGAAAAGGGGAGAAGGAAGAGAAAGAGGAAGAGGGAAGAGGAGGAAAACAAGAACAGTCCATAGAGCTGTCTAATAGGACATAGCTGCAATCTTCCACTGCTTTATTTTGGAAATGCTATTCCATGCCTTTGCCACATTTTTATTGACCAAGTAGTGTCATGCTAGATCAAGTCCATGCTCAAATATAAAACACATATACCCATATACACACAAGAGGAGGTATTAGCAATAGCACCTAATCCCACTTGCTCAGTCTATAAACAAATGCATTTAATTATCAAAACAAGAAAAACATCTTCCAGGCAATTTTAAGGACTGCATTATAGAAGACAATGTTTAAGCAATATGGACCAGTGAGTTATCCTCCCATTCTGAGGTAGGGATACAAAAACCTAAGTAAACTAGTAGTCACAGAAGACTGGCATTTGCCTTTTCCTTGGTGCTCTGATGATTGGTTCTCACACTGGTGTACTGTTTGGGTGGAGCTATCTGCATCAGGCACCTCATCTTAGAATCCAGCATGCTTGGCTTGAATAGCTACTTCATAGATATGTGTGGCCAAGAGCTACACATGACACCCTTTTCATTTCTCTTTCAGTAGTTTTTGAGGATCTAGAAACCACTGGAAAAAAGTGTTTCCCCAATTTTCAGCAGTTTTGGATTCCTTGTCCTGAGCAATGAAGGGGATGTGCCAAGTTGGGATGGTGACCTGGGGGAAGGGTACTTAGGAACAGTGGTCAGTTGTTGGATTATTTTTTTTTGTTGTTTTGTTTTTGGGTCCGGTTGTGGGGCCTGAACTCTGGGCCTGGGCACTGTCCCTCAGCTCTTCAGCTCAAGGCTAGCGCTCTACCACTTGAGCCACAACGCCACTTCCAGCTTTTTTTCTTTTTGCTTATGTGGTGCTGAGGAATCGAACCCAGGGCCTCATGCATGCAAGGCAAGAGCTCTACCACTGAGCCACCTTCCCAGCCCTTGTTGGATTATTTCTTGTACATATTTTTAATTTTTGTTTCCATGCTAATTTTTTAATTTTTATTTCAAACTTGAAGGTCAGGGAAATGTGTTTCCATTTACTATTTAGTAATTGCTAAATCTAACCATATTTCCTGGGGGCCCACTCTATGCAGAGGAGGACAGCAAACAGTGCCTTGTCCCAGTCTATGGTGTTTTCTCACATTGTTTGTAGCACTTGTGTTTCATTGTTGCTAGTGCTTCTGTAAATTAATGTTACTATGGCCAATAAAGTTTCTACTTAATTCCCACAATTTTATGTACTTGGTCCTTAACTTCTCTCATGAACTAAGGAAGGCCGATTCTCACTTTAAATTGTAGACAGAAACATTGCTTATAAATGGGAATGAGTTCTTCCAGGAAACATTTTTGTCATTTCTGATGTGTTTGTTCATTTATTTGTTTCAGTTTGTGTTGGACAGGACTCAAGACTCCTGGAAAAGTAGGAAGTTTAAGTACCCCCATGTACAGTTATGCCTTTCAGAGAAATCCATTGCTAGATGATGTTATGTATGCATTATGTTCTCTTCTTCAGAGGTTTTCTTTCTGTATTGAGGTTATTTCAAGCAAATGTGGACCCGTTTTGAGTAACCTGTATATTCCTTGGTGTCTTTAGCCTCTTGACACTCTCAGGTCCTATGAATTCTGCAAATAGATGATGACAATATTGCATTCCTTTGATTAGACCTTTTGTTAGAGGTTGTACCAGTGCATTGGGACAAAGTATAATTCCACAAAAACAGTCTCCTCCCAGAATTGTGGTCCCCTTTTTTTTTTACCTCATTCTGTAGCTCATGTCACATCATCCTACAAGCTGAGCTATGCCTAGTTGTGGTATCAGAGTATTATATTTGGCAGCTAACCTAATTGCCTTATTGGCAGGCTGGTCTCCATGTAATTGGAGTCTTCAACTTGCGGTGGTGCAAATAAAGTACAGTTGCCACATTTCTAGGCATGGCCATAGCTTCTGCTCAGACCAGGGCTTCTTTGGTTTAGTAGATGTTTTCTGAGGACCCACATAATTGTCCCTTACACCTTGGGGTATGTAAGTGAAAAATTGCCCTGTCTCTGACCTAGAATGAGACAACTGGTTAGTGTTTAAATATTTGGATACCTTGGTAGATATAAAAGTCACTGTTTGAGTATCAGGTCTTTTGGGACAACTTGTAACTTTGTTGGCCAAGTTCTTTCATATATGGCAACAGACAGTTGTGTCTAATTTCAAAGCATGTAAGTCTGTAGCTAGATTTGAATTAAGCACACTGGTTGAATTTTTAGAATGTGGTCCAATGATTTTTCAAAAACATAGTATCCTTGCTTAGATACTGGAATCTTGCAATCAAATATAAATTATCATTGTTTTCCATATGAAATGAAAGAGAATGGGAATGGGGCTTAGAGGTAGAGTTGCCTAGTATTCATGAAACCCTGGGTTCAATTCCTCAGTACATTCCTCATGAAGAGAAAAACCTGGAAATGGCACTGTGACTCAAGTGGTACAGTGCTAGCCTAGAGTAAAAGAAGCTTGAGGACAGTTCCCAGCTGAGTTCAAGCCCCAGTACCGACAAGAATGAAAAAAAAAAAAAGAATGAAAGAAAGAAGGAAAGAAAGAAAGAGAAATATAGGAAGGAAAGCAGGAAGGAAGGAAGGAAAGTAGGGAATAGAGAAAGAGAAAGAAAAGACTATCTTTTCCATCCCCTTATAGACCCCTCTTCACAGTAGGTAGGGAGAGACGGGTTGTAAATAACTGAATGAGTATCCTGAACCTTCTCAATTATAGCTAGCTAAAGCTTTAAATCTGTGTGTTGCAGGTGTGATTCCAACAAGCAGGTCTAAAGAACTGCTTTTTGAAAGGTCAGATAAGGTGATGTTAGGGAAATGAACCCTAAGATATGTATTCAAATGATTTTTTTTCTTTCATGCGATTTTTTTTTAATTTTAATTTTATTTTATTTGTGAACATACTGTACAGAGGGGTTACAATTACATGGGCAGGATAATGCGTACATTTCTTACCAAGCATTGCAGCCTCCTCCTTTGGTTTACCCTTCACATCCCTTCCCAGCCTCCCCCCTCCCCCCCAATCCCAATCATTCTCCTTCCCCCCCCTCTCCCCCCACCCCCCACCCCCCCGTCCCCGCACCGACGTTGTAAAGCTCCTTTTGGACATGTCAACTTGTACTTCTCATTGTTGCAACAGGTCCACCTGTATCCTTAAACAACTGGTTTTTCCCCATCTCCTCCACAAGTTATACTGACATCAAATATAGTGAAAGCAGGGGTTATACTGTGGGGGAGGGACATACAAAGCAACGAAGAGATAATCTTATAAATGCGTTAGAAACACATGCATGAAAGAAAAAAACATTAAAATACATATCTAAGGGTTCATTTTCCTGACATCACATTATCTGACCTTTTCCGCTTGACTCATACATATACTAGATATTGCAAATAAGGGAAATCATGGGGCCTATGTTTCTTTGGGCCTGGCTTACTTCACTTAATATAATTTTTTCCAAGTTTTTCCATTTCCTAACAAATGGGGCAATGTCATTCTTTCTGATGGAGGCATAGAATTCCATTGTGTATATATACCACATTTTCTTGATCCATTCATCTACTGAGGGGCATCTGGGTTGGTTCCATATCTTAGCTATGGTAAATAATGCTGCAATAAACATTGTTGTGCTGGTAGCTTTAGTGTGGTCTTGTTTGTAAACATTTGGGTAAATGCCCAAAAGTGGGATTGCTGGGTCATAGGGGAGTTCTATGTGAAGTCTTTTGAGGAACCTCCATACTCATGCGATTGTTTTTATAAGATTATTTCTTTGTTGCTTTGTATGTCCCTCCCCCACAGTATAACCCCTGCTTTCACTGTATTTGATGTCGGTATAATTTGTGGAGGGGAAGGGGAAAAGCAAATCATTTAAATAGGGATACAGGTGGACCCATTGCAACAATGAGATGTACAAGTCGTTATGTCAAAAACTTTACAACTTTCATGGGGGGGGGAGGGGGAGGAGGAGAATGGGAAGGGATGGGAAGAGGAAACAAAGGAACAAAGGAGGAGGCTACAATGCTTGATAAGAAATGTACTCGTTATCTTGCTCATGTAATTGTAACTCCTCTGTACAGTATTTTCACAATAAAAAAAGAACTGCTTTTTGAGCCTAAATTTCATTTCTGCACACTCCTGTCTAACTTGGTTATCTTTGTCAGAACCTGTCAGAAACACCTTTGCTCCTTCCTGACAAAATTCAGTACCTAGAAACTTTTACATGTCTCCATGGGAACTAATGTCTGGTGAGCCGGCAGGGCTGATCAAGATACATACAATACATCTGCCCATTCCAGCCCACACCTAGCTTCTACAATGCCCACCTTTAAAAGACAGCTGATAATACTTTCTGCAATGGTTATCCAGGCTCAGATTGCCCAAAGAAAGCATTCTGGGTACTTTTCCTTCTCTTAGAAAAATGGATAAATGTTTACTTCCTTGACTGCCTTGTGACTCTTCATGAATTCTTTCATAGCAGGGAAACTGCTGAAGCCCCTAGATTTATTTCAGATAGTGCAGGTGGAAAGACACCTCTCTGACTGCTTACTGCTCCAGTTGATGCGATAAACATGTCAAAAATGTAGCCCATTATATAGTTATCTTTGTCGTAATGTGCCTTTCCAGAATACAAACTGGGTGACCAAGAGGTGAGGCCTAAGTATAACTTTCTCAGTTTAACTATTAACAATGTTGGGAAATTGTTAGTCATCCCTTACATTCTAAACTTCCTGATTCTGTCCATGTGTTTAGATGTTCACTGCTCTTGTTGAATGCTCCTTTTTGTCCTTCACTTCTGCATCTCCCTAGGGAGAAATCCTGTGAGCTCTGTTTAGATGCTGCTCCAGGCTAAGGACACTCAAAACATTCCTCCCAATCACATTCTTCTTTCATGCTGATCATCCTCCTCCTTTTTAAGTTCCTTTTGCTCCTTTCCTTAGAAGGACACCCACCACTTTATACCCACCATCTAATCTACAGCCCCACTTAAATCTCAAGATCCTGCTTGTGTCTCTCTTTTCCCATCACCTTGTATCCCCTGCTCCCCTCACCCAGAACTTCACCTTGATCGCCCCCTAACTGGCTCACCAGTTTGAGCCTCCCTTGAAGTAACCTCCTAATTAATTGCTAGCTCTACTCTCTTAGGGAGATGGCAGCTATAGAAAGGCTTCTGGAAGAACAAGGTTCCTTCACTACATCAGGCTTTACCCAAATTGAAACTACATACTTTACTCTCCTTAATTTACTCCCCCCTTGATTTTTAATGCATTTCAATATCTTACACTTCCTTTAGGTTTGAGACAGACATTGTAGCCGCTTAACTATTTGGTTAAAGGGCTAGGGGGGATATCAAATTCAGCCCAAGGCTGAGAAAAATGCCATTTCTTGTCTCCTAGATGTAGAACTGTGGCTGATTGCATCCATAATAGAAACCTAAATTGGGATTCTCAGCTGTACATGAAGGCTACAAGTCCTTCATCATATTAGCTGGAGATCATATGCTTCTTTGCAGGAAAGATGTTGTGAAAAAACATCGATCCAGTCAACTTCAGTCAAATGAAGGACCTAGTAAGAAAACTCACCAGAGATAAAGGCTTTTGATAGTGAAAGTTATAGAAATTAGGAGAGTCAGGCAGCAGTGACTCATGCTTGTGATGCTAGGCTAAGACCAGAGGAACCCAGTTTTTTTCCAGCCAGCTGGGCATGAAATACTGAGATTCTTACCCCAGTTAATCAGCAAGAAGCTGGTAGTTGAGCTGTGGTTCAAATGTTAAGAGTGAGCCCTGAGCAGAAAAAGCTCAGGGACAGGACCTGGGTCCTGTGCCCTAGGACCATGTGCTCTGGGACCAGAACAAGAAAAAAAAAATGAAGACATTAAAGAAGACACCAGAAGGTAGAAACACCTCCCATATTTCTAGTTTGACAGAATTAATATTAGGATAAGCCAAAGATAATGAACAAATTTGATGGGATACACAAAGGTTACCAATGTTATTCTTCTTAGAGAAAACAGTCCTTAAATCATGGAAGCTGAGGTGCAGGGAAGAATCACCCATCACCAAACTGTATCCTGTGCTCACCAGGCCTAAACCAGAACCAGGCTCTTCAGGTCTGAGGCCACCTTGCCTATGCTTACCTCTGGGGTCACACTAGCACAGCGTATGTTACATAATTGCTTCCATCTGCATTTTTAACATTCTTTCCCATAAACCTCTGCAAGCTTCCCTTCTTTTCTATTTTCTGAAGAGTTTCACTTTCATCCCCTAAGTGTATGTCTTGGTGAAATATGCTCTCCATTTTGGCCAACTTTCTGAGAGCCTGTTTTGAAATACTCAGAAGGGGGCTGAGAAGGTAGCTCTGTGGCATAGTATTTTCCTTTTGTTTGTGCCAGGAGTGGGGCATAAACTTAGGGTCTTGTGCTTTCTCTTGGTTGCTCAGTGCCACTTATCATTTGAACTACATCCCTAATTCCAGTCATTTTGCAGAAGAATTGGAGATAGGAATGTTCAAACTTTTCTGCTTGGTTTGCCTTTGAACCTCAATGCTCAGATGTGTCTCACAAGTAAATAGATTTCCAAGTGTGATAGACCAGCACCTGTCTATTCCTAGCCCCGTTCCATTTACTGGAGCTCTAAAGACCCTCTTGTGTTCCTGCTTCTGGAAAGATGGCTACTCAAAAGGCTGTAGCTCAACAAATCCACTGAGTTGTGAACATACTTAGGTGTCTATTGCATACCCTGAGGTGCCAAGAGCTGGCAATGAGTGAGCAAAGGCTCCAGGCCATTGACTCCAAGCCTCGGGGCTTCAGGTACTTGCTCTTTTGTTTGAGGAAGTGTTCCTCTCAGCTTCTGGGCCTGGGGGTTTATCTGAAGGAGTATGGTAGAAAAAGATTATCTGAAATAGAATGAGGAAGGATGCATACTGTCTGCACTTGGTGCAGTGGGTCCTAGAACAATGTGATGCATTTGACAAATATAGAAGGTGTATATAGCTGAGGCTTTTGCTGGAATAAACAGAGTTGCACCTTCAATTTTCTCTCCGTCTCCTTCATCAATCCCTTTGCCCCTTGGCAACCTGTTGGTACTACAGCTGGATCATGGCAGGTCCCTGTTCCTGTTACTGGAGTTTACTAAGGGATTATAGACTTCCCAGTAGAGTTAGCTTGGCATGCCTACCTAATAGCGTCTTTCTAGAAGGCTAGAAAGGAAAAACATAGGTAGGTGCTGCTAGCTCACACTTGTAATCCCAGCTACTTAGGAAGCTAAGATCTGAGGATATTGGTTTTAAGACAGCCTAATGGCAGACTTCTATCTGGAAATAACCACCAATAAAGCCAGAAGTGAGCTGTAACTGTCCTATAGTAGAGCACTAACCTTCAGAAAACAAGCTCAAGGGCAGCACACAAGCCCTGAATCTATTTTCTGAGACTTGCACAAAAGAAAAACAAAACAAAAAAATCAACAATAAAAACCACCTGCCTCTCCTGCACAGAGCTGGGCAGGTCAGTTGACTGGGTTGGCCCATGGGGAGTGTAGTTGATGCTGGTGCTGCTACTGCTGCTGGAGCAGGGGGAGGCTTGCTGCCCTCAGTCTTCCACTCTGTGTCAGTAATGCTGGGTCTCCAGAGGAGGCAGGAAAGGCACACAGACCTGGTGCCTTTCCTGCCACCCTCCTCCTGCCGCTGCTCAGCATGCAGGAAAATTGTAGGATGGTGCCCAGGAGCACTGGCTGTCTTGACCTAAACATTTGGAAGCAATGGTATGCAGTCAAGGGGCAAGGCCCTGGTCTTGCTACTCCTTGAGCATGCTGTAGGTTGCCCTCTCATTATTAAATGTTCTGCCCAACAGGGCTGCCTGCACTTCCCCTGGGTTAACATGATGTGCAGGATGGCAGGCACTGGCTGGTTTCAGAACAGACTGGCTGGGTCTTGATGATGCTGCCTTAGTTTGCATTAGCTAGGGATGGCACATCACTTGCCTGACCGAGGGCTTCTTCTTCAGATCCTCTGTAATAAGGTAGGCTAACAGACCTAGTAGTTCAGGGGAAAAGCATTTTCATATTTTAAAGTTGCTGCCTAAAACATTGTTTTTGAGTATAATCCATGACCTGACTTTATAGGGCATGTCCCCATGACCATGTAGTACAGCAGCACCCCAGGCTCCAAACATCCAACTTGGGGCCCTGGTAGCTCCTCTGAGGAACTAGCCTCAAGACCCTGCTGGGACCTCACCTCTCTACTCTTACTAGTCATCCTCCACAGCATCCTAGCAATTCTGTCTAGGGAGAAAATAAATGATCAAATAAAGAAAACAAAACCAAATATAATCAAATATAACAAAGCAGAACAAAATACAATAAAATGGAACAAAGTGGAAAAAATGTAATAAAATACAATGAAATATAATGAAAAAATATACAAATATATAATATATATAGTATAGAATATATAGAATTTAAACAAAGTGTATAACTATAATAAACATTAAAATGTAAATATATAATAAATGAATAAAATATAACTACTAATAAGTATCTACTATGAAACAAAATCTAATATGTAAATATAGAAAAAATGAATAATGAAAATGCCTAAATGCTACCTTATTGAAAACAACAAAAGTCCAAAAGTCAAAACCAAATCACAATCCAAATCCACAATCCCCAAAATCAAAGCCAGATCAGCAAACCAAATCCACAAACCTGATAAATCACCATGCAACAAATCAACTGAACTCCAACCTCTCAACTACCTATGAGAATCCACCCATTACCACCCACCATATATACAGCCATGGTTATAATTACTTCACAATGATGTCTGTGATGTCAGAGCCACCAAGTTACTGGCCTAGAGGACACTTCTTAGATGCATTTGCCTGGACTGGCCTTGCATTCAGGGCCTGGGCACTGTCCCTTAGCACTGTCTCTCAAACTTGATGCTTTACCAGTTGGGCTACAGCTCAAATTCTATCTTGTTGGTGGAGATTATGGGCTCAGGGATTTCCAGTTCAGGTTGCCTTTGTATTGGCACCCTCACATGTCAGCCTCCTGCTTAGCTGACAGGCGTTAGCCTGAAGCTTGTAAGACACTGAGTTAACTAAAATTTGAGTGTAGTCCAAGTTTCTTAGTTGGTTATATAGATTGATATAGAATATTTCTGTCAATTGGAATCAAGTGTGGGTACTCCTATCTATCATTCTAGCTGCTTTTAGGATTAGAATAGGAAAGACTGCAGTTGGAATACAGCCTGGCTAAAATAGTCAATGAGATTTCATAGCAAGGGAAGAAGCTGGCATCCTGGTGCATGCCTCTCATCCCAGCTAAGCTGAAAAGTGAAAATAGGATGGGATTCAGGCTCTGCTTACAACAAAAGCAAGTCCCTTTCTCAAAAGTCACCAGCACAGATTTAAATGACTGGAGGCTAAATATATTGTCAGAAGATAAGCCTAAGGTCAGACACTTCACCAAAACCCACACCTGTCCTATTCTGCCTTATGAATATTGTTTCTGCTTTCATACTGCCATTGCTATTAGAATGACTACACGAGATCTACTTTTTTTTTTTTTGTCGGTCGTGGGGCTTGAACTCTGGGCCTGGGCGCTGTCCCTCAGCTCTTCAGCTCAAGGCGAGTGCTCTACCACTTGAGCTACAGCGCCACTTCTGGTTTTCTGGCGGTTTATTAGAGATAGGAGTCTCACAGTCTTTCCTGCCCGGGCTGGCTTTGAACCGTGATCCTCAGATCTCAGCCTCCTGAGTAGCTAGGATTACAGGCGTGAGCCACCGGCGCCCGGCGCGAGAGCTACTTTGAACATGCTACCCTTTTCACTCAGTCCAGATGAAAGTCAATCACACATGTGATATGCCATTTAGAACATATTCAGGTTTATTTTTTCCCACATTTTTCTACCTAGCTGACCCATAGGGATCCTTCACACATTCCTAGAAGCTTATTAGTTTCCTCATGAAAAACAAGGGCACCCATGGCTCAAGCCTATAATCCTAGCACGTAATTAGGCTGGCCAGATGACAATCACTCTTCCAGCCAGTCCAGGTAGGAAAAGCCAGGGGACTCATATGTCCAGTTAGCCACCTGAGAACCTGAAGTGTCACTGGCTCAGAGTGGAAGACTGTTGGCCTTGAGTAACCTGCTTTAAGACAGAGCTCTGGATCTGAGGTCACAACCAATGACCCACCCAAAAATTCCGAGGGAGCCCAGAGAGAGATGTAGCTCAATAGATTCAGCCTTAAACAGTAATTACCGACCCCCAAATCTTGTCAACAGTAGAGTGACCAGCATACGAGGCCTTCAGAAATGAATAATAACATTTTCAGACTGAGGAATATATTTTTACCTATCAATTTGCCATGAAAAAAAATGGGATGCTCATAGTGAATTCCATGTTGCTTAGAGCTTTTCCTTTGAGGTATGAGGAAAAGAGGACTCTGGCAAAGTTATGGTAATGAATGTTTCAGCAAAATGGGCCTCTTTTTCTTTGCTATATAAAACAGCAAACTCATCATCCAAACCCATAAACAGTAGTGTATTAAGGTACCAGTTGCAGTTGGCAGCTTATAACTTTATTCACATGGATGAAACCCAGGGCCTGAAAACATGTGAGACATGCCCTGACCAGCCCCTGCCCACACTTCACCCTAAACTGATTTTTTAAATTCTGGTTTCCATATTCCCTATAAGGAAGACAGAACAGGGAGCTGACACTGATTTAAAGACACATGACTACAGCTCTCTGTGGTCCTCCTCTGTCTCTCCAAGTCACACCAACCACAGGATCTCAGAATGTCAGTTAACTGAAAAGAACCCCTCCAGCTTAGGTTACTTGAGAAACTACTTTCATGTTGAGATCATCTCTCATGTGATTATGATGCAGGTCTGGACTGAGAGAAGAGAGCACAGGGAGAAGGGCTCTGGTAGTCTCTATCTCTCCTATGTGAATCAGGGCCCTTAGTAGGGAGAAAAGACTCTACAAATGGGACTTGGCTAGGAGGGAGAGGTTAGGTCCTGTGTGGGTTCTGCAGCTCACAAATCTTCAGGAGAGGCTTTACTAAAAATAGATGCTAGAGTCTAGTTTAGGGGATATGGTTTTGTCCTTGTAGAGCCTAAAGGAAATACCCCTTGTTCAGATAGAGACCTTACTTAAAATAGACTTTGGGACTTGGGGTAGGGTCCTTGAGCCTTATAGCCTCACCAGTGCCCACAAGCCACAAGCCCTGGTTGTCCTTGCCTGTCCTGGTAGGTCTGTCCCATAGGTACACATTTTGCCAGCCCAGCTGTACATACCTCTAACCCTGGCAGGCTACTGCCTGCAGCATTTTTCTTTGAAAACATCCCTTTAGTTGCTCTTTTTAACCTCTCCATCATCTCAGACCTGTGTCCTGGAACTTTGCTTCTTGGCTTCCCTTGGCTGTCTACCCCAACACTTTGCTGCTTACATTTTTTCATATTTGCTCCCAGGTACCATGAGCTTGTTCACATACTAGTCCCAAAGGGTCCCTTGGAGTCCTCTATCCTGCCTGGATCTAAACGACATAGGAAACAGAATCATCTTAGTTGTTTCTCCAGCCTCTGTCTGGAGACCACTGCTGCTTCAAGCTAAACTTGGTGGGTTGCTCTTTCCCATGAGGGGGCCTTGGCTGGGACACTGGGTGATGGGGATGTGGATGTGGATCAGTTTGTTTGGACTGCCTGACTCCCTGCCTGGGAGATTCTTTTCCTTGCCCATAATGGAAGAGGTGCTATTAACTTGGTATTTACAACCTAAAAAAAAACATTAATGGAGACTCTCTTTTGACAAGTATACATTTCCCACACTTCAGAGTAGTATCTGAAAACAATGATTCTCCCAAGTACCTATAGAGCACACAGCAGTCCTGAGCTTTGGTCCTAAACATTGTCACTCTTTCTCATTTTTCTATTTCTCTGGCTCCCATCATGAAAAGTGCTCTGACATGTTCCTGGTACTAACGCTCCATTTGAGAGGACACTTTCTGAAATTTGTTCCCATGGATTACTAGGTAAGAGAGGGGTTGAGTACAAAATGGACGCCACTCTGCCTCCTACACATCCTAGCAGTTCACCCTTAGAAAAAGTTATGTTCTTTTTTATGTGAGTGCTATATCCCATGGAAACTAACCGGAGAATAGAGGTGTCTTACAAGGGAAAGGGTTACACTAGGAATGAGCAGAGTGAAGAACCATTTTGAGCTACTCAGAAGGCTGAGATCTATTTCTAACTTCTGGAGAGTGAGACAATCCATTGAGGCACAGACAGTGAAAGGTGTACAAAAGAAGTTTATTTACACTACACTAGAAAGGGGTCTTAAGACTATCTTGCCCTGGGCTAGATAGCAGAACCAGGAGCAGCCTCAGCCACCAAATCTCCAAGCCTCCAATAGGCAGTCCCGACCCCCTGACCTTTATTAATTGGTCTGCAAACCTCCAATTAATCGGTCTGCAAATCTCCAACCCCAGTCCTCCAAGGCTCCAAAGCTCCAGAGGGGAAGGCTTTTCCCTTTCTAACCTTCCTCCTCCACGCAGGCCTCTCCACTGTCCACAGCCTGCCCTGCTCTGCTCCCGGGGGCGCCTCTCCACAGGCCTCTCTAGAGGAAGGTCCCTAATGGCCCCAAATGACCTCCGGAGGAGGTCCCAAACGGCCCCTGGAGGAGGCCCCGACAGCTTCCTCGAGAAGCCCCAAATGCCCTCCGAGGCTTGCCCTGCTCTGGCAAGCTTTCCCTCTGCGGTCTCTTCTTCTGCTCCTACTGCTGTCCTCCGCCGCAGTCACTAACTCCGCGCTAAAGGTTTTTCCCTTATTCTCCTCTCCTCAGGACTCCCGGTCTCCTCCGGACTGTTTTACTCAGGACCCCGGGTTTTCTCCTACTCCCCCCATGCAGCCTCACGCAGCCTATATATACCTAGATAGGCTGCGCCCCTCCCCCGCTAACGGTTTCAAACCACCATTCACGCTCCTCCCCCAAGCTGCCCCTTCTCCCCCAATCGGCAGCTCACCATCTGGGGGCTCCACGCCCCACCCCCTCCAACAGCACACCCCGCCTTTTTCCGCAGCATGACACGCCCCTTTCCACTGCATGGCAAGCTCCTCCAGCAACCCCCATGGGGTGGTGACATCAGCCTCTCAAGCCCTGCCTCTGCCCAGTGCCCAGGTCTGTGGAGCTGTGCGGCTCGCCTCTTGATGCCCCGCCCCCGCCAGCAGGCCGGGCCACGGGGCCACGCTGACTATTGGGCCTCACTGATTTTCGGGGCCCCACAGGTTATTACTGTTATTATTGCTGGGGTTCAAAGCCATCCCGGGCAATTAAACTAAGAAACGCTTATGTCCAGTTGGACAGCAAATATCAGAAGTGATGGTATGGTGACTGGAGTGATACAGTGTCAGACTTAGTGAAAAACCTTAAGGATAGAGCCCAAGTCCCAGGGTCAAGCCGCGTACAAAAAAAAAAAAAAAAGGAAAAATAAATATTTGAGAAAGCTGTGATGCTGGATTAACTGCCCTGTCTCCTTGTTCAGCCAGGGGATAGTGCTGTGCTCTCCCTTCTTCAGCTCTAAGTCCCACTGCTCAAGATTACACTGAACTGCCCTGGAGCTCCCATCTGGGGGTCTTGTCCCCTGCCCCTTGTTCTACTCAGTGGATCTGGGTAAGTAAAGTCTCCCAGGAATTAGAAAAATGGAAGCATGACCCAAAGTCGGTGACGGATTTTACTGAGATGAAAGACAACTTTCACTTTTCCAGATGCCTGACCTACACAGCATTATTTGGAAGGAATTAATAAGCCGGGAGACAGAAGTATTGCTCCTTATTCTGGCCTTTCAACTTGGATCAGGGCCAGCCTAACTGACCCTTTGAGATGAACCAGCTTTGATTTCTCTTGTGCTTGAGTGGCAACTTGGAAGTTGGTTGTCAAATCTGGAATATCATTGATAAATATTCATTAGACATGGAAATGCATGGAGATTATGGTTGTCCACAAGGGATAAGGACAATCACCTTGATCATGCCTAAACAGGACCTTCCCTGTCTAGAATGAGATGAAAAGTGACGCTCACAGATTCTGAAGTAGTCAAGGACTATTGACCCTCCTCATTAATATCTTCTTGCCCATGGAGCATCTTCTGTAATAAAGTCACTCTTATTGGATGTAGAAAGGTACACAGTATGAACACTTTCAGTGTATATTACAGAGGAAGTTCACCGTGATAATATATCTCTCTTCAAACAGTCTGCTCTGTAGTCATTGGGGGTACACACGATCAGTCACTGGACAACAGGGGGATTTGGACACAGACAACAAAAGCTTTGGGCACAGACAAAATATTTGGGAGACAGTGCAAGAAGGAGACTAGGTCTCTATTGCCCCAAGGCTAGAAACAAAGTTTTAGAACTGAGAGACACTGAAGGACCAATACAGAAAGTAAGTTAAGGATGATTGAGTAGATTGTTAATGGAGTAGATTTAATTATTCCAGAAGTATATGGATATTGAAGTCTCACATATTATACTCTATAACTTTATGGGTTATGATTTGTCAATAATATTAAAGCATTTTTATATTGAGCAATTGAAGGGACAATGACATGGGAAGAGATAATAGACTCAAAGTCCTCACCTCCAATAGCAAGAGAGAAGAGTGAGTAATGTTACCAGAACAGAGTTCTCCTCTAAGTTACCCTGTCCTACCCTCCCCACTCCTAAACTGATTAAGATGTGTTGTGGTATCTGAGCACTTTGCTGACCCTTTTCTTTCCTGCTTCTGTGTCTTACACCTTCCATCTTGGTGCTTATAAATAACACAGTATCTGGAGATGCTGGTCCTCTGCAGTGTGGACCTGGGAAGCACCTCTCTCTGTGTGTCAGGGGGGCCTCCTTTGTGCCTCCTGTAGTCTTCTTGACTGAACAGTGCCCAAACATTGCTCACTTCATTTGCACAAATTGCCCCTCTCAAATGCTTCATTCTAATCTTTGCTTTCTTTTCCAGTGGTAACAAAACTTGAGCTAAATAAAGTCTGCTTAACTTTTCAGGCTACACCCACCAATCAACCCAGACACCAACCTCTTCAACTTCCTGGATGTGGATGCCATTGACACAGCCATCCTTGGATTTCTAGTGACCATCTCCATGTCGAGACCTTGGCAAATAAACATGGCTACCAGATGGATGACAATCAGGTAAAAACACATCCTCAACACTTTTGATATGTCTATAGGTGTGTCATTTTGCTACAATCACCATGGCCTACTATGAAGACTCATGAACTAGCTTTATATGTCTTGATAGAAAACCCTTGTTTAAGTCATGAATATATTTAAAGAATGCATTTATTCTAAAGTATAACTTGTGTTACTTATGAGCATCAGATAATTAAACTCTGACGAGTGGAGCTGCCCTTCCTCCCTCACCTCAGGGTCAGAAGTTCACCTAGCACAGTGAAGTTTGTGATATGAAGTGTATGGCTGCCTTATTCCTAGAGATGGTTTCCTTAAATTTAAAGAGGACATGATAGACTCCATAGTCTGGGAGTCAAATATCTACATTTTTGCTCCTCAGAAAGGCCTAGGTGTGTTCATTAAACCTTGAGTGTATGATTTCATCACCCAAATTCCACAGTATTCTCTCTGGGTTTTTTTTTTTTGGGGGGGGGGGGGGTGAGCGTCTGTCATGAGGCCTGAATTGTGGGCCTGGGTGCTGTCCCTCAGCTCTTCACCTCAAGGCTAGCACTCTATCATTTGAGCCTCAGAGCCACTTCCAGCTTTTTCTGCTTATATGGTGCTGAGGAATCGAATCCAGGGCCTCATTCATGCAAGGCAAGCACTCTACCACTGAGCCACCTGCCCAGTTGCCATAGTATTCTCTGAAACCATTTTTTGGTTTTGGTTTTGGTTATACAACATAGCCAGAGATAGAGTATTTTTTTATCCAAACATGGCACTACAATCATGTCCTGGCAGTTTAACTGTCCAGCACATTTCTAAGAAGAAATCTAAGGCCCCACATCTTTACTAAATTCAGTGATCACTGGAAATCCCTAAACAGCCTATGAAGTACTGGTCCCAGGATGACGTAGGCATGTGTTCAGTGTAAAGATCACAGTAGTTATATAGAAAAACCCTTCTTTTTAAACTACAAAATGATTTTTCCCATTTCCTGCATTCTTTTTTTTTTTTTGAACTATGACTCAGGTAGGAAAGGAAAGCATACATTTGGGGACTTGATTTTGGGTAGGAATCACAGCACTTATCTTCAACATGATAAACACTAGTGTTTTTTCTCCCACCATAAAATGTGCCATAATTTTTATCTGAAGCTCACACAAAAGAATTTCTTGTTTTTTTGTTGTTGTTGGGTTTTTTTTTTTTTGGTCAGTCGTGGGGCTTCAACTCTGGGCTTGGGCCCTGTCCTTGCACTCTTCAGCTCAAGGCAAGCGCTCTGCTGCTTGAGCCACAGCGCTACTTCCAGTTTTCTAGTGGTTTATTGGAGATAAGAGTCTCATGGACTTTTCTGCCTGGGCTGGCTTTGAACCTCGATCCTCAGATCTCAGCCTCCTGAGTAACTAGGATTACAAGTGTGAGCCACTGGTGCCTGGCAAGAATTTCTTGTATAAGAAACACAAATGAAGAAACCGCTAGTATTGATGAAGATATCTTTTAAGTGGCCAGTCATGCTTTTCTTTCTAAAGATTAATCTATGTCTTCTGTGGTTGTTTTTCCTCATGGAATTCTATGCCTCCATCAGAAAGAATGATATTGCCCCATTTGTTAGGAAATAGAAAGACTCGGAAAAAATTATATTAAGTGAAGTAAGCCAGACCCAAAGAAACATAGGTCCCATGGTTTCTCATATTTGCAATAACTAGTATATGTCTTGGACAAGCAGTAAAGCTCAGATAAGATGATATTAAGCGAAATGAACCCCAAGATAGGGACACAAGTGTTTTTTTTCTTGCTATTGTTTCTAACGTATTTATAAGGTACCATGTGATTTTTTGTTGTTGCTTTGTATGTTCCTCCCTCACAGCATATAACCCCTTTTTCACTGTATTTGATGTCCATGTAATTTGGGGATTGGAAGAGAAAAAACAAAATGTTTAAATAGGGATACAGGTGGACCCGTTGTAACAATCAGATGTACAAGTCACTATGTTGAAAAACAAATTTTACAATTTAGGCAGCGGTGGGGGGGGGGGGAGAGAGTGTAGTTGTAGTTGTGGAGGTGGGAGGGAAAAGTCGTGGTAGGGGAAAAACAAAGGAGGAGGCAACAATGCTTGATAAGAAATGTACTCATTACCTTGCTCATGTAACTGTAACCCTCTGTACAGATTTTCATAATAAAAAACTTATTAAAAAAAGAAAAATGAAAAAAAGAAAAGAAAATTTTGGGCTGTGTCGAGGAGTCCTAGGGTTTGTTCTATTCCTTCCTGTAATGTTTTCAGGGTGTCTCCTTTGACTCTGAGGTCTTTGATCCATTTGGAGTTGATTCTGGTGCAGAGTAATATATAAGGATCTAGCTTTAGTTTTCTACAGGTGATTAACCAATTTATGGCAACTCCTTTGTACAACCATTTTGGGGCAATAAAAATATTTTTTAAGGTTAGCTAAGCAGTGGTGGCTTATGCTTATACTCCTAGCAACTCAAGAGGCTGAGATCTGAGGATCCTGGTTGAAAGCCAGCCCAAGTAGGAAAGTCTGTGAAACTCTTACCTCCAATTAATTATCAAACAAGCCAGAATTGGAGCTGTGGCTCAAGTAGTAGAGAGTTAGCCTTGTGCACAAAAGCTCAACACCATTGCCCAGGCCCTGAGTTCAAGCCTCCAACTGGCATAAAAATACAAAGCAAAACATATTTCAAATAATGTTATTTTTATTAAAAGATTTCTCTTGCATCTATTGAAATAAGTCTGTTTGTATAGGAATTGCACAGGCTGATAAAAAGGATTCATATGTTCAGTTTAAATTCTCTTTGCACCCATCTTGTCAGATTGAATTTGTCAAGACTTAATAGAAGGCTTGTCTCTGATGAATATTTGCCTATAGTTTGGTAAACTATAGGGTTTTTAAAATTCACTTAGCATTTTTATTCTTATTGAACTATTGTTTGAATTTTCAAGTTGTGGGCTCAAGTGACCCAGCTGCTTTGGCTTCCCATAAAGGTTGATTCTAGACATGGTAAAAATTAGAAATATATAGCCCATATGTTTTATTCTTTTTAACATTAATGGAGTTAGAATTCAGTCCTTCTGATTCCTAAACAGATGACCCACCATTGAACCACACTGCTTGTTTTTCTCTATAGTTTTTCTTTCTAGCATGAATTCTTTCATGACTCTAAAGGTGACCTTATCGACTGAAGGCTTGCACACACTGCTCACACTCCAAGGTTTCTCTCCAGTATTAATTATTTCCTATCTTTGACAGTGACTAGACGAAATGAAAGCTCTCCCACACTGCTTGCATTCATAGGGCTTATCTCTGGTGTGAGTTCTTGCAATGAACATTTGTATCAGGTGGGATTTGGGATAATTTCAGGAACAGAGGAGACCTTCCCCGGTCCAATCCAGATGCAGCCCTGGAATTGCATGGCCTGAGGTCCATGTCAGATATTTAGAAAGAGACTACAACCCTACTTCAGCCATATAGATGAACAAGGTGACTCAGTTTATTTAAAGGACAGGATCCACTGAAAGGTGCCTTAGTGCCAGGCATACTACAATGCCAGGCTGCCTGCTAGCCACAGAACTGTGGTGCAGCTATGTGCTGGCCTCCTCTGCTGCTCGAGCTCTCACTTGTCTTAGGTCTAGGGGTGCCACCTGTGTGGGTGGATGGGCACACAAAAGACCTGACTCCAGGCCCAACTTCGCCACTCAACCTTCCTGACTACAGGCATCAATGATGCACAAGCAGAAGCTTCAGTTTCGTGGTCTGTGCAAGGGGAGGAGGACTGGGGCTCCTGCACAGGCTGTGAGGAGTCAGGTTGCATTGGACACAGAGCCATGCAATGTCACCATTGTGATTAATCATCACTGATGACAGGAGGCACACATGCTGCCCACCCCTGCAGCCATGAGTGCCACACTCTAGCCTGCTATCGACTGACATTCTTGGCATGCCTGTCTTCCAAGGAACTGAGAGGTTCAGACAACTCTGGAGACCAGAAGCACCACCCTCCTCCCAGAGAGTGCAACAGGGACCAGCCACATCTTTGAGGACAAATCCTAGCACACCTAGGTCATGGCCCAGCTGGCCTCATTCCGTGCATATGCACCAGCAGCATCTATCACAAGGCTACCTCCTTATGCTGTTGTAAGAGCTGCCTGGCCTCCTGTGCCTTCTTCAGCAGCTGCACTGGAGCCACAGTTGTGCCTCATCCTCTAGCCTGGCAGCCTGGACAATGAATACCTCCAGGGAGCAGCTGCCACTGCTGCTCATCTGGACGCTGGGACCAGCCCTGTTCCAGAGCCAGCTGTTCACATGTAAACCATAGGGCAGTAAATTTTGTTCCCAATTGATACCTATTTTTCCAGCCTCGGATTATTCATAAAAACTAGGTTCAGTATCATGTGTTCTGTGTTCTCTTACTGTGTGTTCTGCTGACATAGGGTATATCGATGTTTCCTTGAAGATAATCTGTCATGATTTTCCACAGGCTATTTAGACATTGAAATTCAAGAGTCCTACCTCTTATACTGGCCTATAATTTGACATTCATACCTTTCCCTCCATGTTGATTTATTTCACAGCAATTCCTCTTCCATGTACTTCTCACAGGGAGTGGTGAAATTCTTAAACTACCCAGTTTTTGATTGTCTACATTTTTGTGAAGGTCTGGAACCATTTCAGAAGTCACCAAAGTAGAATATATTTATTTATTTTGGTGGAAAATCAACACTAGTGGAAACCAAGCCATTTGGATGATATATTCCTATTTGTACTACAATTACATTGATCAAGCCATAGTAGTAACACTGAGGCAGGCTTTTCTCTATACAATTCAAGCTCTGAAGTGCTTTGTATCTCAATAGCTAAACACATTTGCAAACAGCATAACACATTATGTTCCATTTAGCTCTACTTTTGTCCCTTTTGGATACTGCCTTCAAGACAAATAGACATTGAAGTCCTGGTTTTCAACTCTTTGTATAATAAGAAACCGGCATTATCTTTCAATGAGAGATAATAGTTATATAAAGAAATGAACATCAAATATAACATTGTTTTACTTAAACTTTTCCATCAGTGACTAATATAGTCAGTGTTATAGTTTTGTTTCCTGGTGTGTAGTTTATAAGACCAAGTAAAAACAGGCAGAACTGATTGGTTGACAGCTCAACAGCTCTCCTTTGCATTCTGTGGTGACAACAATGAGAATTTAAGAAATGCTGATAAGAGAAAGAAGCAAGGGATGCTGGGTGGGGAGCGATAACCCTGGTCTGGAAAACTAAAGAGTTGATCCTTCTTTAATGGGATATTCGGGTTATTTACTTTTTCAATAATGACATTAGTCACACATAGAAGGAACACAATTGGTTTATTTTGTACTTTAACATGTGAATACTACAAAACATTTCTTAGAGGAAATGTACATGTATTTACTTGTTCCTCATCTATTTCTCCTTCTGGAAATGCCCCTAAATATAGCAGGCCAGGACACCTGAAATGACCATGGCAAGCAATCTGAGAATGATACCAAGTAGAAAACCTTCGGCTCCAATCAAATAAAGCCAGATGTTTCTAATCTGTGCAAACATTTCCCTTTTCTTAGAGTAGTATGAAAGGGTTTTAATTTTTCTTTAAAAAAGTAATGTTCTAAATAACTTTACCTTCCTGAGTGAGGAAGGGAGTTGAAAGAACTAGTAAGGTCTCAGTATCTACTGATCACTCATTCCCACTGGAACATTTTCTCATTTGAGTCTACTATCTCTATCCCATTCTAGACTTAACATTTTATTTGGGATCAGGGCTAACGGCTATAGGGAAACCCAACTGGAAGAAAATTCATATTTTTTTCTCTCAATACCTTCCATACTGTTAAAAAACAAAATCTACTCAATATTCTAAAAGATTGATGTGTCCATTCATATAACAGTATTGGTGTCCTGTGATTCAAATATCAAAGCTGAAATAAAACTAAATTAAATTTCTTTCCACCTGATCTGCCTTGTGAAAGTTAAATTTTGTTTGTGACTGTAAGTATCACTATTCCACAATACTGTGAAATATGTTAAATTTATGTAATCACCTAATAACATTTAAAGAAAAAAAGTAAGAGAAGGGATGGATTAAGAGAGATGGGTAACAATGTTGTCAGACACTTTGTACTCATATACTGTTTTGCAAAATGGGAACTTCTTTGTACAAATACTTAAAGATAATAAAATAAATAAAAATATTATCAACAAAACCTAAATTAAATTTAAAAAATCAAGCCAGAAAATGTGCCTAGCAATATCTGACATTAAAAAGATTCTAGGGCTGGGAAGGTGGCTCAGTGGTAGCGTGCTTGCCTTGCATTCATGAAGTCCTGGGTTCGATTCCTAAGCACCACATAAACAGAAAAAGCCGGAAGTGGGGCTGTGGCTCAAGTGGTAGAGCGCTAGCCTTGAGCTGAAGAGCTGAGGGACAGCGCCCAGGCCCAGAGTTCAGGCCCCATGACTGACACAAACAAACAAAACAAACAAAAAAAAAAAAAAAAAAAAAAAATAAGATTCCACAACAAAATTAAGCCACTAGACTAGAAAGACAAGATAAGAAAAATGCCCAATTTTTTTCAGATAAGAATGACATATAAAGCTGATATTAGCCCTAAATAGGGAGGAAGAAAAGAAATTAGAGTTAAATATAGAAGAACAACTGCACTCATGCAAAATGACATACATTTGAGATTCTGTACCAGGGAGATTATACACATCTCTTTTAATTCTCATAAAATCATCTATTTTCATTTACACAGAAGCAGGAAAAGGTAATTAAAGACTATTCAATTCAGAAAAGCAATGTTTGACACTTTGTGATTGATGACTTTGTTGATATGGAACCACACAGGGCTGGTGTGTGATGTAGGTTGGCCACTACAAGGCAGTACTAATGGGCAGAGCTGCCCACAGTCCTGTCACTTGTGGGCAGGTAGTTCTAAGACTGGGAATTGAGAAATATTTGGAGCTAGGTCTGAGGTCTTCTAAAATACAAACTTCAAGCCTTGTATATACAATCATTATTTTTTTCTGAAAAAAAAAAAAAGCCATATAGTGAATTCAGAGACAACAAGGTTTAGTAGAGGAAACTGTAAAACAAAGAATTTTCAAGATGTAATGTGTTACAGGTTTGAGTAGAGGTACATACTTCCATAGTAAATGATGACCGTAGGGGAGTTAATACTTGATGACATACACTCCTGGTTTCTGAGACAACTGTCTGACAGAGCATTGTTGTCCACTATTTGTGAGCATATGGGAAAAGTACTTGTGCAGTATAACAGGAATATTGGGAGTTTTACATTTCTAAGTAACGATCAAACTCTTTTATAAATCATATTTTTTAATCAAGTTTTTTTTTCCTTTTTTGCTCCAAAAATGATCTGGGAAGCTGCTGGTTCTTTTCCATATGGGAAACATTATGAATAGACTGATAGAAGATGGGAAAGGAGGATGTGGCTCTGTGTGTGTGTGTGTGTGTGTGTGTGTGTGTGTGTGTGTGTGTGTGTTCATTTTTCTAGGTGCTTCCCATTCAGTTAGCCTGACTTCAGACCTTCCATAAAACCTAAAATCAATTTGAGAATTTTCACCAAAAATTAAGATATATGTTTTAGAATGCTTGGTGACTACTCATTACCAACTGATCATCCAGTCCAAAAAATTGTTGCATGTAGGTTTCAGATAATCTAATTTTTTGTTTCATTGATGGCTCAATGCACACATCATAAAACAATGTCAGCGTTTAATTTCACAATAATTTGGTATAGAGAAAAAGAGAGAAAAAGGACATGTCCCCTTAATAGAAGCAGGCAGGTCCAAATCCCCAGGAGGGCTTTTTTAATAGTCTGCATCCAAGGCTTTGCTGATTCCCTCAAGAAAGTTGTACCCTTTTCTCCCTCCTAGTGAGAGTAACATGTATTTCACAGTTGAGAACCATTGAGCATTTATATTTGTCTTTGGGACCTAACAGCCTACAGAAGGATTACTAGTAATCTGAAATTGGACACAGCCACTGGGAAGATGTTAGGTTGATACTATTCAATGAGTATTTTTACCTTAAATGTTTCACTAACATCAACTAACACAATACTACCATAGAAAACTTTCAAGACCACTTTCAATGATAATCATGATTTCTTTTAAGTATCTCAGTAGGTCCTCAGGACCTGTAATAAGTATACCATATAACAGTTCCTAGAGCAAAAAGGAAACTGAGTCAATGTTTCTGAATTTGCACATTCTGTGTGCAATAAATGAACTTTGCCATGTAGTTAAAAAGCCAAACAATATGAAAATTTTCAAGCAAACATACTTTTTACATATTTATTCAGTGGTGATAGTTGGAGATGTTTTGCTATAGTCAAATAAAAGTCAAGTATACCTGCCTGTTTCTAAACTTCCAGCATAAATGAAACAACAGAGTTGTTGTAGAATATTTTGCATGATGTGAAAAGTAAAACCTCAGAACAGATTTGACAAGAGAGTTATAATGCTTTACATCAGTGGTTTCTACTCATAAATGAAACAACAGAGTTGATGTAGAGTATTTTGCATGATGTGAAAAGTAAAAGAACAAATTTGACGAGAGAGTTACAATGCTTTGAATCAGTGTTTTCTACTCTTCTTAAGTATGAGGAAAACATTCTTTATTTATTTATTTTTTTTGCTCGGTCATGGGGCTTGAACTCTGGGCTTGGGTGCTGTCCCTGTGCTCTTCAGCTCAAGGCAAGTGCTCTACCGCTTGAGCCACGGCTCCACTTCTGGTTTTCTAGTGGTTTATTGGAGATAAGAATCTCATGGATTTTCCTGGCCAGGCTGGCTTTGAACTGCTCCTTAGATCTCAGCCTCTTGAGTGGTTGGATTACAGGTGTGAGCCACTGGCACCCGGCTGGAAAACATTCTTTATAACTAAAAACTTCCTTAGGCTCAACCACAAATGTTGTTGAGAAAAGTAATTGTGGATCTTTGGTGTGGCTCAGTGGGAAAGTGCTGAAGTTAAATTCCTGAACCCCTAGGTTCAATTACCAGCACACATGCACACACACGTGCTTGGGCACACACACACACACACACACACACACACACACACACACACAAATCTCTTGTGACTGAATTTTATCAAAGTATACTCTAATCTAACATAGTTTGATTATGCAGGTTGTATTTGTAAGTTGTCATCCATCATCCATAACACACAAAAAAAGACACACACACACAGTCTATTGGGACTACTGCAGCTCAGTGCATGTAAGTGGTAAACAACTTAATGCATCAAAGCTAATATTTAAACTGCATTATAGATTACAGAAACCTGTTGCTGTGTTGCTTTCTGAGTGATCAAATATATCTTTATTTGAAACAGAGACAAAGGTTTATAGCTCATAACAAGCAGAAACCACCTAGAAATCCCCATAATTTCTTAGGTTCTTCTCCCACCTAGAAATTATACCTGCTGGCTTTCTCCTGCTCCTCTGAACAAAATATTCCCACCCCTTGAGTATTCTTCCCATATCCATGGGCCAAGTATCAGCAGACCTAAGCCTAGGGACTTTATCAATTTGCACAGCATCCTCAGGAAGGACAGGAGGAAGGGAGTTTGAAAGATGGAGAAGGAAGGGGGGAGAAAGAGGAGGAGGAGGAGAAAGAAGAAGATCTTCGAAGTGGAGAAGGGAGGGGAGTATAGGGAGACAAAAAGAGAGGGAAAAAAGAAATGTGGAGAAAAAGAAGAGGAAGGAGAAAGGAAGAGGAAAGAGAAGGGGAGAAATCTAATTGAGCCCTACATAATACGATTTAACCCTTTGCAAGAGCTCTGCCTGCTCTTAGTGTGCAGCCAGCAAGATGGGAATCCACCTCTTAAGACAATGGCAAAATGTCTTAGATTTAGACATTAGATCCTTCCCCATCTCTACTCTTTTTCTTCCTTTTTTTTTTGGTTAGAGATGGGGCTTGTACCCTGGACCTGGTTGCTGTCCCTGAGCTCTTCAGCTCAAAGCTAGTGCTCTACTACTTGAGCCACTTCTGACTTTTTCTGTTAATGTGGTGCTGAGGGATCAAACCCAGGGCCTCATGCATGCGAGGCAAATACTCTACCACTGAGCCACCTTCCTGGCTTCCAGCTCTACCTCTTGACCTAGCCTCATCTCAGCTGGTCTCAGAGATGACTCTATCATCTTCAGACTGGTGTGCTTTCCTCCCAAACCAAGAAAATAGCCTTCATGACCAACATCTGTGTGTGTGTGTGTGTGTGTGTGTGTGTGTGTGTGTGTGTGTGTGTGTGTGTGTCCTAGGATTTGCACTCAGGGCCTGGATACTATTCCTGAGCTTTTATGCTCAAGGCTAGCACTCTATCTTGAGCCACAGCTTCACTTCCAGTTTTTTGGTAGTTAATTGGAGTTAAGTGTCTCAGAGATTTTCCTGCCTGGGCTGGCTTTGAACTGAAATTCTCAAACCTCAGCCTCCTGGGGAGCTAGGATTACAGGTGAGAGCCACTGGTGCATGGCTACATCTTCTTTCTATACAGACCAAGCCAGATGCCTGTATGAGAAGCTCACAGACACCTCTGAGACTGTTTCTAGAAAAGCTCCATGATCACTCTGAACTCTTAGGCCAACATGGGAAAAGTAGCCTAGATGGATTCACACCCAGAGAATCATGTCTAATAATTGCATTCTATGTCTAGTCAATACTGAGCACTTTCTATTCATACCATGGGCATTCTGAACACAAAAGATGTCTGACTGGACCAATTAGAGACATAACGTATCTGCAGATGAGGCTGTTGAGAGGTTGGAAGACACTGGCAAAGGTGTGTGCAAGGTGATCGGGGTGGAAGGGAGAGAGAAGGTACAAACCACTCCTGTGGTGGGGATATCCTTAACTCATTTTCTCACCTTCAGTCTCCATTCACTCAAGTCAGCTGGAATGGGCTACTTGCAACAAAGATTACATCAACCAGGATTATATAAATGTTTTCGTTTTCTCTGATACAGCTGAATGACCATGATCATTTAGCTCATTCTAGCTTGAACTTATACCAGCAGTTCCAGCAGGGACACACCTGCTGGAGTACCAGGTGCTGAAAATGATAAATGATTCCTAGGCGAGTTACACAATTTAAGACATTCAGGAACTTATAAACTAGTTTGGAAGGCAGGGGTTATTTCAAGTACCTAGATACAATGTAATGTGAGACATACTGAAGAAAAGCCTAATAGGAAGGAGGAAATTTAGCAATGTAATCTGCTTCCTCAAATATTATGCTTACTTGTCCTCAATGCATTTGAAGCTGAAGAATACAAAGTTGAAAGGGAAAACTCAAGTGCCACTTCATAAAGAAATAAAAGTCATGAACTTCCCTGCCTGGGCCAGCCCGGAACTGGGATCCTTAGATCTCAGCCTCCAGCTTCTGCCTAGCTTTTTATTGGTGGGTGGCATGAGGGGGAAGGGTCTCACAAACTTTTTCCCTGGAGGCCTTGAATGCAATCTTCTGATGTCAGCCTTTAGAGTAGCTAGGATACAGGTATGAGCCTGTGTAAGTGGATGCAAATATTGACAAGACTTGTGAAACAAACAGCCAATGTTTACTTACAGTATCCACTTCCTGGTTTCTGTGAGCTCTAAAAGAGTTTTCTCCCTTTCATCCAGCAATGAAATCACATCAGATGTAAATATATATATATATATATATATATATATATATATATAAATATAACCCACATCAGGTGGGTTATATTTATTTAGAGCCAGAGCAGCTGACTCAAGTGTGGCTCAAGACCACAGAGAAACCACTGCTCCTGGCACATCCCCTCCTGGCTTTTCTTCCCATAGTGCTCAGCAGCTCTCCTTGGAGTGCTAAAGCTTAGGTCCCATTCATAGATTTACGAGTTTCTCATTGAGGGCAATCTGGGACTGTGTGAGGTTGGCTAGGTAGGTCACCATCAGTAGGTCATTGATATTGCTGTTGAGCATGGTCTCAAAGTCGTCCGGAATGATTTTGGGTACTTGGTTAACCAGACTCATCAAGAAGCGGCCCACAGTATTGTCAGCTGACACTTTTCCAGACAGTACGTCCTCCGCATATTGCAGCCCCAGAACAAGTGTTACTGAGGTCCACACATATAAATGCATGTCTTCTTGTCACTGACAGCAGTTAATATTCTGTAAAGCTTCATGAACGTTCATCAGAACCAGAGTTTAAACTCAGGGCCTTGAGTTTTCTGAGCATGTTCAACTGACACTGTCATTTGGGCCATGCCACCAGCCCAGCTTTTTGCTGGTTATTTTGGAGATGAAATCTCACAAGCTTTTCTCTTACGTCAGCTTCAAACTGGTCCTCGGGAACTCAGCATCCTGAGTAGCTAAAATTGCAGTCATGAGCCACCAACGCTGGCTCCTATTATGAACAATGATACTTTTATTCTAAGAATAACTTACTTTTTTCAAGAGGTATTTCTATATTAAATAAAAAGAAAATAGGATAAAAAAAGAAATAAATAAAGGACTGGGCACCAGTGGCTCATTCCTTTAATCCTAGTTACTCAGAGGACTGAGACCTGAAGATGGAGGTTCAAAGCCAGTTCAGGCAGGAAAGTCGGTGAGACTCTATCTCTAATGTCTCTAACCACTGAAAAAGCCAGAAGTAGAGTTGTGCCTCAAGTGGTAAAGCACCAGTTTTAAGTGAAAAAGTGAAGGGACAGTGTCTAGGCCCTGAGTTCCAGCCCCAGTTTTTATATAAACAGAATGGTAGAAAGATAAATTTTTAAAAAGGGCTATCCTCTGCTTGTGAATGAAATCAATTGGTACAATTTTCTATCACCTTCCTTTGGCATAAATAATGTAACGGAAGTATGATACTCTTTAAATCCAATGCCTTTTTCATCATTCTGTAGTGCAGAATGCAAGCTTTGCTATGATCACAAATAATTAAAAATGCAGATGATTCTACCCTTGAGAATTCTCCTGAATACTATTATTTTAAGAGAGAGGGAGAAATGGAGAGAGAGAATGGTGGAGGTAGAGAGAGACTAGCAGTCATCCCTAACAGATTGCCTTGTGGTTGTTCCTGCTAACTTGTGAGAAAAGAAATATTTCCACTGAGTTTCAATTCTCAAGTAAATAAGGAAGTAATATGGCTGAATTCCATTCTGGTGACTTAATATTAATTTGGCTGAGGAAGCAGCTATTTGCAGAACAGTTCTGGGATAACTGAAATGGGAAGGAAAAAACACTAATATACAGATGGTTATTGTTTTTTTGTTTTATTCCAATTATACTGGAATATTTGTTTCCTATAATTAAATATGTGCCAAGCTGTATTTACAGCTCATCCAATTGACTCTGCCTGTACTGTCATACTAGAAAATGGAGAAGAGTCTACAAATGGACACACACATTAACAAAGTGACATTTTGAATTGGCAAGGAGAAAAGCAAGAAAATGAAGAGCAGATTGTTAGCATGAATCTACCCACTACAAAGAACAAGCACAGTTTTTCTGCTTGAACCCAAGTATAGTTACAGGTATTTGTACCATTAAAAAAAAGTTGGTGATAGTCAAACAGATATGACCATTTCGAGGAACATTAACTTACAAGATTGAGATTAAAATAATACAGGCCAGGTGCTGGTGGCTCATGCTTGTAATCCTAGCTACTCAGGAGGCTGAGATCTGAGGATCATGGTTCAAAGCCAGCCCAGGCAGGAAAGTCCATGAGACTCTTATCTCCAATAAACCACTAGAAAACCAGAAGTGGCGCTGTTGCTCAAGTGGTAGAGTGCTCACCTTGAGCTGAAGAGTACAAGGACAGCCCCCAAGCCCAGACTTCAAGCCCCATGACCGACAAAAAAATAAAAAAATAAATAAATAAATAAAAATAATCCATATGACTCCAGTAGGATATTGGAGCCATCACACAGCGCCTAACTAGCATTTGGATAGAGTCAGCTCAACATATTTTCTGGTACCCTGTGAAAGACCCTCAGCAGTTATTTAGAGCTTTGCCTTAAATTTAAAGTTATTTTGATTGTATCTGTGACTTCAATCATTTTTAACCATAAATACTTGCTAAATACATACTGCAAGTAAAGGACAAAAACAGATAAAACAGGTTTAGATTTATCATCTCTCCACTCGAATTTTTTTCTGTAGCCTGAAATACCTTCCTGTTCTTTAACCCAGTAGATGAAGAACTCCTCATATCTACCTCCAAATTATATGGCCAGTAAATGCATGGCTTGCATGATAGTTACACAATTGTGTGTGGGGGCGGGGGCGGGGGCGGGGGTGGGGGTGGGGAGGAGGTGTTATGTGCTGGTACTGGGGCTTAAGCTCTGGGCCTAGGCACTGTCCCTTACCTTTCATCACTCAAAGCTCTAGCATACTCTATCATTTGAGCCATAGCTCCACTTCAAGGGTTTGGTGGTTAATTGGAGATAAGAGTGTCATGGACTCTCCTGACTGGGCTGGCTTTGAACTATGATCCTCAGACCTCAGCCATCTGAGAAGCTATGATTACAAATAGGAGCCACCAGTACCAGGCACAGATCTACTTTTGTAATCCCATAATCACAGGATCAGGTGGCTAAGTGGTTAGAAAAATGGGCTTCCAGTCAAATAGTCTTACCACTAGGTGAATACTGAACTCAAATGGCCTTAGTTTTTGTATCTGTTGAACAAGGTTATTAACAGTAACTACCTCATAAGGTAGTTCTGAGGTTAGATGGATGTGAGTAAATTATAAGCCATGCTGTCACTATTATTCTACCTCCTAGATGCTTTTCATTTATGCGCTCCTGTCCCTCACTCACTATCCTTTTAATCTAAATGGCTTTTCCTAATGCCAATATTACCCTTCTCTATCTATTAGAGATGGTGATTTTAAACACGAATTCAAGTAAGTCAAAAAATTAAAAAGTTTAGGGGTGGCAGGGCACTGGTGGCTCACACCTGTAATACTGTCTACTCAGGAGGCTGAGAGTTGAGGATTGCAGTTTGAAGCACAGCCTGGGCAGAAAAGTCCATGAGACTCTTATCCCCAATAAACTACTCAGAAAAAACTGGAAGTGGTGCTGTGGTTCATGTGATAAATCTTTGACAAAGGCCAGGCCCAAAGTTCAAATACCAGAATAAATTTAAAAAAACAAAAAACAAAAAACCAAGCTGGGCACTGGTGGCTCACACCTGTTATCCTAGCTGCTCAGGAGGCTGAGATCTGAGGATCATGATTCAAAGCCAGCCCGGGCAGGAAAGTCCGTGAGGCTCTTATCTCCAATAAAACCACTAGAAAACCAGAAGTGGCACTGTGGCTCAAGTGGTAGAGCACTCGTCTTGAGCTGAAAAGTGCAGGAACAGTGCTCAGGCCCAGAATTCAAGCCCCAAGACTGACCAAAAAAAAAAAAAAGTGATTTTTTTTTCTATTTATGTGATAAGCCTAAAATTCCAGTTTAGAAGCTTGGAACTAGTGGCTCACACCTGTAATCCTAGCTACTCAGGAAGCTGAGATTTGAGGATCATGGTTCTGAGCTAGCTTGGGTAGGAAAGTCCATTAGTCTCTTAGCTCCAATTAACCAGTAAAAAGCTGAAAGTTAAAGTATAGCACAAGTGGTTAAGCGACGGCTTTGAGTGAAAAAGCCAAGCAAGAGTGGGAGGCCCTGAGCTGAAGTCTCATTATAGGTGTGCATGCAATATACATACACACACTAAATTTTAAAAGTTCCAATTTAGCCCCCATTAGTCTTCCAGGAAATCCAGATAGCATGATGAGAAGGAACCAGAGTACTGCAAGAGTGCACAAAAGTGCTTGCTAACATGGATTTAGAAATCTGGTGGTGTCTTGATGGCTCCTAAGTGACTAATTATGGCTGATGTGTTCCAGTCGTGTTAGTTTTCTGATTTGGATGCTGATTATCATTACACTCCCTTTCTTTGCTTAAATTCTACTGTCTTTTGAGCTCCTGTTATGACACAATGGTTTAACTACATTTGTTCACCTGTGAGACTCTTATCTTCAATGAAACACCAAAAAAAAAAAAAAAGCTGGAAGTGGAGCTGTGGCTCAAGTATCAGGGCCCTGGGCTTGAACACAAAAGCTTAAGAACAATACCCAGGCCCTGAGTTCAAGCCACAGAAATGGGGTAGCAGCCATTTCTAGAATGACTCAAGCCTATAATCCTAGCTACCCAAGGAAGTTGAAATATAAGGATCCAGATTTGAAGCCAGCCTAGGCAGACAAATCTGAGACATATCTCTAAATAACCAGCCTGGGTTCAATTCCCTCACCTGACAAAAAAAAACAAAAACAAAAAATAAAAATTTCACAAGATGGCTCTTCTGAAACCACTAAACAGGTAGAAAAGATGAATTATCTTCTTTCCTCTCCCGTTACCCTTTTTGTTGTTCTTTTTTCTTCTTTCTCTCCTTAGTTCTTTTTCTGTCCCTACAAATTCTACCCAGCCACATATTTGGATTTTTAAATAAGCCAATTCTCTTTTTCTTTGAAAACTTGTATTTTCCTCATATTTAGAAACTTGTACCTTTCTAGTTCCACAAGTTCAGACTTCACACATTTATTAAACTGCTCAAGGATAAATAATGAGATACATCTTTCTGATGAGGGCAGGTATCATCTTCAAAACAACAAATCAAAGCATACCACTCTTCTACTTAGAAACCTTCCATTATTTCAGATTAAGTTCCACATTAAGAGTTAAAACTATCCTGAGCTGGGCGCTGGTGGCTCATGCCTATAATCCTAGCTACTCAGATTTCGGGATCATGGTTTGAAAGGAGCTTGGGCAGAAAAATCTGTGAGACTTGCCTCAAACTACACATACACACACACACACACACACACACACACACACACACACACACATACACACACACACACACACACACACACACACACACAGCAGAAATGGAGCTATGGCTCAAGTGGACGAGAGCTAGCCTTCAGCACAAAAGCTCAGGGACAGAGCATGTGCCCTGAGTTCACACCATGGCTGACACACACTGACTTACACACACACACACACACACAGAAGAAAATTATCCTGGCTCATAAGGCTGACAAGGCATCGTGTCCAA